CCCGACAACGGCGCGGGCCCAAAATAGACCTCCCAGGAGAGAGGAGCGACCACCCAAACGGGGCGGCTAGCTCAACTGGCGAAGGGGGGGGGGGCACCGCAAAAGTCGCCCCCAAGGCGAAGGGGAGGAGGCACGTCCAATGTGCCCCCTCCCGCTGCGAGGAGGGACTTGCCGCCCCCCGCGGCAAGGTCCCCCAACCAGCCAGGGATGAAACGAGCGCGGCAACGAGGTAACCTGGGCACAGGTCGTCTCAAAGATGGCCAAGAGGGCGGCCGCCAAGGCGAAAAAAGCCGTCCCGGCCGTTTAAAAGTGCAAAACCCGGGGTCTCTACTCTCACCAAGACCGAGAGCGAAGCGAAAACGGGCGGAGGAACGAAGAAGGGGAGCACCGCCGGGGTCCTAAAGGAGGCCCTAAAGCCTCCGACAAGAGGCCTTCCCTTCCGAAGCTCAGGCCGCCCAATTCAGCGGCAATCACTTTTTTTTTTTTTTTGATAACGCAGGGGAAATGCCTGATGCATACCCCGGGCTTCGGGGGAGAGCCCGGGGTTATGTGGGGCTTGCACCCACTAAAACCCCTCCGGGTGTCCTTACCAGGCCATAGCTGAGGGGCTCCCAGGAACGCATGCAGCATACTTCTGGGAGCCCCTGCCTACCCATTCCTCGAGGCAGGGGAGGATGGCCTCCACGGTCCGGACGCCCGTTGTCGGCGGGTTATTCTCGAGAGTGGCGCGCCACTCTCCAAAGACCCGCCGACGGGCGTTCCCTCTTAGTCGGTCTACGGTCCACGGGGTTGCGATCCCCCCCCGAAGCCGAATGGCCTTCACCCTGGCGTAAGTCTCCGCCAGGGCGTCTGCCACGTACTCGGCCGGGGGAATCCCCACGAGGACCATGGCGGCGGCGTACGACACCGTCCTATAGGTCCTGCAGATTCTAAGGGCCAACCGCCGTTGCACGCTGTGCAACCTCTCCTGTATACGGCGGTTGGCCAGGGCCCTCTCACTCCATACCGGGGCCCCGTAAAAGGCCCCGGACAGGACGGCGTGCAGGTACGCACGCCTGACCGACTCGTTCGGACCGCCAAGGATG